GCTGATTTCTGAATAAGCTTCAGAACGTTACATCCAAAGATTGACAAATGGGTTGATGACGTAATCGAGCATGTGACCTGAAATCGGAAATAACTATACTTACTCCGTTAGATTTTTCTTTTAACTGTCGCGACCCCCTATATTGTTTAAATATCTCTCTGAATGATTGGTGGATGCTGTCGGTGAACTGTCGCAGTTCTATTTTTCGTTTTTCCTCCCATGTAGCACAGCTCGCTTCTTTTTTCAATTCATGGAGAATTTTAAGTCTTTCTTCGCGAGGCATACGACCAAACCTAGAAGCTGAATGAGAAAGGAATAAACACGGAGGGACGACGATAAACGGAAGATACAGAGTTCGTTTAAATGGAGGCTAAATATAAGACATACCACCAAGTGACATTCCAACATGAAGACATTTTTGAAATCTACAGAACTGACATTTGTTTCTGGTTGCCATGTTGATTTCACAAGGTGCGCTCGGAAGAAATGGACAAGTCCGGTACTCCAGATTCATCCGGTGTGTACGTCGAAAGAATCCCTGTAAACAAAGAACATATAATGTTTACTTGATGACATAAAATAATAAACAAACTGACTGAATCACCCAATAATGCGCGCGCGCCAACCAAACTTATATTCAAGTTGCAATTCATAACAACATTCCTAAATTTGATTAGAAATAGTTGCTTTATTGGGTTCGTGTGCTACAAGAATAACACTGTTAGTAAGTAGAGAGATTATTCATGATGTATTATTGAATCAAGGATTATAATTTGCATCAGTTATAAACAGAGCTGAAAAACACCAAATAAATTACTATAAAGATCGCGGAGGGGAACAAAATATCAAATAGTGTAATTTTCTGTTTATATGTAATTTCCTATTTTATAGGTTTCTTGCATTAATGAAAGATTGTGTTGACCTTGCCTAGAATTTTAAAGTAAATTATACACCAGCTAAATGACGGACAGCCAATCAGCGACGCGTTACAGCTGGTAATTTCCTGCATTCAAAGAGAAATAAGCTATGGAGTTATTGGCCATA